TGGACAGTTTTGAGGGAAATGTCGTCTCCGGGCGACTCGGTGGCTTAGGAACGAGATGAGTGACATCATTCACATGAAAGTGTTAATCACAACCTGAACAGGCTCCTCATCAGCATGGTTCGGCGAACTAGCCGATGTGCCGTCAGCTGCATCCCGGACAGTGATACCAGAATCAGTTGCCGCAATTGGTGCATTTATATCAGCTATTGTACCAATGCTTTCATCGCGTATTAGTATGCTCAGTGCATCTGCGCTTCTAACCTCACAGCTTTCAATACCATCCTGTAGTGATAATTACTGCATTGGTAGGGGGAGAGGGATGCTTTAAAGTATTCTCTGGCCCCGTCCAGCCAATGAAAATAAGGAACATATGAAACTGGGTTAAAGTAGCAATTTTCAGCTCCAAGAGTACATTAGTGACGGCGCAATACATTGATGCTCGAAAGGGCAACTGAATAATGCAACAGAATTTTGCGCGCGGCATAAGCGCCGGACAGCAGCAATTCTTTGAATTATATGGAACGTTAGTAATTTGCATAAACCGAAAAGAGAGGTAGGCTTTGAGGAGGTCATTGAGGATGCGTGTGAGGCTGCTAGCAGCTTCACTTAGAACAGACCACATTATGCGCATTCGTGCAAATTTCTCTACTCTTATGACTGACACGGAGTTTTCATTTGCTTTTATAACTGGAGTTTGCCGAACAGTTGAAGTGAAGCAAAAATATAGACAGCGGAAATAGCAAAGTGCGGGAAATGTAATTACAACACAAGTGATTAAATGACCCTGATTATGAGCACTACTGACTTTCTCAAATAAAAGGGACTGGGGATGATAAATATTATGACAATTTATCTGTTATTTTGGTCCATCGTAACAAACTTGGAAGCTAATTTCTATATGCTCGTTCATCCATCCGCCACTCGCTCCAGTTCGCTTTTGCAAGTAATTTCTGGACGAACTAAGTTCTGCATCAACAATAACCTAACCATCCTAAAGTTGGAAAAAATAATTGGGCAACGCACAGGCTGCCCG